ATTAGAGTGTGGTGACTCATGCCTGCAATCCCACAACAGAGGAAGCTAAAGCAGCAGGGTTGCCAAGGGGTGAGGCAAGCCTGGCTAGTGAGTTCTAGGCTATTGTAAGTCACAAAGTGAGATCTTGTCTCCAATGCCTTTAACAATCTGCAAATTTAGAGTAGTGTTAGAATTCAGAAGAAAAACAACGCACTTCCTTCTTATACACAGTGTGGATGGGTGGACAGACAGGACTGTGTTCACCTAAATTAGAGCACTGCGTCTCTGTTTTTAAGGTTGGAAAGATGTTTCTTGGCCTTAGAAAACAGACAGACAATGATACAGAAAATGGACTCGAGATGAATTATAGACCTGGGTATAGGTTTCTGTTTATTACAGACCTGGTTATAGGTTTCTGTTTATGAATGAGCAGAGCCATAAATTGCAGCCTTTAGCTTTTCTGTGCCTTACCATTACCATGTTAACAGTGGTTGTCCTAATAACTTTCTTTTCAGAAGTGACTCTTCCCTCAGGATAAAGGGTCCTCCCTAGAAGACTTGGAGTCCTAATTAGGTTCAATTGCTGTGATGAAGACCATGACCAAAAGCAACTTGGACAGGGAAAAATTTGTGTTTCATATCCTGGGCCATACAGTCCATGAGAGAAACCAAGACAGGAGCCTAGAGACAGGAACTGAAGAAGAGGCTTCGGATGGCTGACTCCCCTTGGCTTGTTCATCCTGTTTTCTTGGATCACCCAGTACCACCTGCTTAAGGAGGTTGTCACCTACAGTGAGCTGGGCCTTCCCACATCAATCATCAGTCAAGAAAATGTCTCCATAGACATACACTGGGCCTGTGCGTATCGTCACAACCACGACAGTTGCCCTGTTGTGTCGGGAGAACATAGTCCCCTTGTATTCATTCACTACCTCTGACTCTCCCAGACTTCCCTCCCCCTCTTCAGCAATGCATCTTGGGAAGAGAGGGTGCAGCATAGATGTTCCATTTAGGGCTGAGCATTCCACAGGCCTCTGTTCTCTGCACCTTGACCAGTCTGTTTGTCTCTGTCTACTGTAAATTTTTCTGAAGAGAGGCGAGAGCTGCATTAATCTATGTCTCCTGCCATGTGGGCAGTAGAGCTGTTTGTTTTTTGAGACAAAGGTTAGAGAGGTGAAATGGTACCAAGTAGATGACATTTGAACAATAATCTAAAAGAAGTAAAGGAATGAGTTATTCTCAGTCTGCTCTGTATGACGTCAGTTAGTGGGTTATGTTAGTAAGAGGAGTCACTGGTGATTGACAGTTTTGAAACTATCCTAGTGTTACATTGAGTGAAGTTCTAGGTTCTATAAAATATGAATATCTCAACTAATACTGTTTATGCAGGCCCAAGGATGTAGATGTATGTAATAGAACAAGTTTATAAAACAATCAACTCAGTTTCATTTATTTTCCTTTATGAATTTTATTTTATGTGATGGGTCAGAACAAGTCCCACCCTGGAGAGGGAGGTGAGCATTAAGTCCCATCTGCAGCCCAGGAGCTAAGGGGAACTAATAGCTACTGGAAGAAGACAAGTCACCCTTCTTTCAGAGCGTTACCACTGGTATAGGTCACCCACACTCCAGTGGAAGGCCACATATCCAAGAATGTATGGATAACACCAGTTGGAGTCTGTGTGTTCTTCTTGTTTTGTTTTTAAGAGGACGCAAAGGAAAGGAGACTGGAGGATATGTCTTTGAAATGGGGTTTAGACTCAGGAGAACTGAGGCCTCTCCCTGTAACAGGCTCAATTTGGGGGTACCAACCAGCTCCCAAATCAAGACACCAAGACCTCTTACTAGTTATGAATGCTTGGCTGTATCTTAGCTCTTTTTAAAATGTGTTTATCTTTATCTACATTTTGCCTTGGGGATCTTTACCTTTCTCTTCTTTTGTCCCCATTTCTGAATTGCTGGCTGCTGCCAGGCTTCTGCCATGTCCCTCTCTTTCCCTTTCATTTTCTTTGTGTTTCTCTCCCTTTCCTCCAGCCTAGATTTCTCCTCCTACATATTCTTTCTGCCCACCAGCCCCTCTTATTCCTCTCCTGTCTCGGAATTGACCATTCAGCTTTTTATTAGATCAATCAGGTGCCAGAGGCAGGCAAGGTGATATAAATGCATCGTATCTTCAAATGCAGCATAAACAAATGAAATGCATCCCTACATCATTAAACAAATGTAGCATAAATGAATGCAACACACTTTCACATAAAGTAATATTCCACAGCATAAACAAATGTAACACATATTTACATAATTAAAATAATATTCCAAACATTTCCCTTCTGATTTCTACTAATCTTTCATCTTCTCACAGTCCTGAACACCGACTGCTAGACTGAAATTTTAAATTCTCTCTTTATTCTTGGTAGTCTGTATATATACTGTAGGACTTCTGTAACCCTGTGTTCTAATGGAATCCTCAGTGAGGACCGATGAACTGAGACACCCTCTGGAATAGTTCCTTACCATGACTACTGATTTGCTCCACCTAATATTTCTCAGCTGCCATTATCATGTTTACTCTTCCCTTCCTTTCAGTCCTTCTATAAAGCCAATTGTATAAGTATCCTGAGTGTTGGCTATGGGGCTTGAGCAAAGGAGATGTAAATTACCCTGTGTGTTAGCAAACATGGTGTAATTATCCACTTTTCAAGATGGCAATGCCATTTTAGGTACTCTGATTCAAAACAAAGATAACCCTGAACAAATGGTTAATGGTGTTTCTGTTTAGTAGATAAAAGCGACTTTAGGCATTTAATTCTACAGAAATAAAAATGAATCTTTGTTTTCGCTTTGTTTGTATGGAATTTGGAACCACATAAGCATTCAATTATCATTTGAAACTTTAGAACATGGTATGTCAGACGTCTTTGCTGCATACACCAGAACACAAATGGAAAGAATCCATACCCTTGCCCAGTAGATGGCACTCTTATACTCTAATGAAAGCAAGTATCAACATAAGATAAAGACCCTTCACATACTAGAGTATGCACCCTGTCTCCCATCCCCACAAAACCTCCTCTAGCTTCCATCCTATATCATGAAGCTACCTTACCTACACATTTAGGTCTTCAAGTGCCCGTGAATGTCTTGCTGGTATTGTCTAGTTGTTCATTTGAGAACACTTTTTATACTTGAGAACACACAGCTCCTAGGGATAGGACTGGTTAAGTAGTTTACAGGGCCTGTATTAACACAAAGGAAACTGATGTCTGAGATGGCTGGGAGGTAAAGCCCTTTTGCTCAATGAGGAGGGCGGAGTTATGATCTCAGCACCCACATCATAGAACCTTGGCATAGTGGTGCACTTCTGTAAGAAAGAAAGAAAAAGAAAATACAAAGCCTCCTTATTATTATTGAGACTCTTAAGACACTAAGAATAAATCATTACAACAAACTTAGGTCTTTCTGAGTCAAAAGGGGCTGTGAGCCCATGGAAAGCAGCCATATTTAACAATGTTAGAGATATTTCTCTCTCTACTCTACACTCTCTAACACCCCAACACTCTCTTCCAGGTGGCATATTCCCAAATGGTTGCTTAAGAAAGGGAGAGTTGTTCAGAATAGATATCAGTCCAATCACCTCATTTGAAAGATGCCCGAAGTACACCCCAAAGAGATGAAGTAGCTTTCTCAAGTTCTCACTAGTTAGCCTAAAATGGGGCCAGAACTAAGAGTTCCTATTGGCCAGGGTGAGGCTGACTCATATACAGCCCCAGGGAGAGAACTGAAGAGATTTTCCATCTACTCAAAGAAAAGTTTCCCATCTGCATATTGGCCCATTTTCTGTACAAGAAAAGAACACATGATTCTCTTATACACATTTTTTGATGGCCAGCTGCATATGAGGGACAACTCAAGGTGTTTTATATGTAATACATCAATTCAAAAATATTATAACTCAATACACACACACAATGTTTTAAAAACAGTTATCAAGCTGGGCAGTGGTGGCACATGTCTTAAATCCCAGCACTTGGGGGGCAGAGACACACAGGTCTCTGTGAGTTTGAGACCACAAGAGCTACAAGAGCTAGTTCCAAGACAGCATCCAAAACTACACAGAGAAACCCTGTCTGGAGGGGGTGGAGGCAGATGGGGACAATACATATGCCAAATAGTTTTTTAATCTTTTCTTTAAATTAGAAACAAGTTTCTTTTACATGTCAATCCCAGTTTCCTCTCCCCCCCCCTTCCTCCCCTACCTCCCAGTGACCTCCTATCCCATCCCCTTTCTGCTCCCCAGGAAGGGTGAGGTCTTCAATGAGGGATCTTCAAAGTCTGTCATATCATTTGGAGCAGGGCCGAGACTCTCCCCTGTGTGTCTAGGCTGAGAGAGTATCCCTCTATGTGGAGTGGGCTCCCATAGCCCATTCGTGTACTAGGGATAAATACTGATCCACTACCAGATGCCCCAGAGATTAACCAGACCTCCAAACTGACATCCTCATTCAGGGAGTCTGGAACAGTTCTATGCTGGTTTCCCAGCTATCAGTTTGGGGTCCATGAGCTCCCCCTTGTTCAGGTCAGCTGTTTCTGTGAGTTTCTCCAACCTTGTCCTGACTCCTTTGCTCATCACTCCTCCCTTTCTGCAACTGGATTCCAGAGTACAGCTCAGTGTTTAGCTGTGGCTGTTTGCTTCTGCTTCCATCAGCTACTGGATGAAGGCTCTAGGATGTCATATAAGGTAGTCATCAGTCTTATTATCGGAGAAGGGCATTTAAGGTAGCCTCTGGATTATTTGGAGTCAACCTTGTAGATCTCTGGTCATTTCTCTAGTACTGGATTTCTCTTTAAACCTACAGTGGCTCCCTCTTTTCTTGCTCTCCTCTATTCTTTCCCTGACTCGATCTTCCTGCTCTCTCCTATCCTCCTTTTCTCTCCTCTTCTCTCCTTCTCTTTCTTCTAACTCCCTCTCCCCTCCCCCCATGCTCCTTATACTAACAAATAGCTTTAAAAAAGGAAACACTACTTATAAAGCAATGTGAGAACAATATTTATTTTCCTTTTAAATACCAGTTCATATATATCTTAAGGAATGCAAAGCAAATGAAGTTCTAACTAGCTTTTACATTTTTGGCTTTGACAAGACTGGGAATATGCCAGTGCTCATGAAAGGATGAACCTGCCTGGCATTAACATGATGAAGAGAGAAGTCTGACAACAGCTTAGCTCTTCAGGGTTGCCCTGGGATCCAAGAAACTTCTCATTCCTTCTTAAAGAATCGCTTGGCTTCAACTCCTTCATATATGTAGGTCTGAAAGATGTTGACAAACATAAGAGAAAATGTCATTAAGAGAAAAATCCCAAATAAGAAAAAATAGTAATGTTAAAGGCTGTCCTGTATTTTCTTATATTTGATAGAAGCACTTCATGAAGATATAGGATAAAACCATTAAAGTTACATTTTGGGTTGTAGACATGATTTTTGGTAAAATGAAAATTGACATATTATGGGGGATGTTCTTTGGTATGTTGTGAATGTATGTTTCTCTTATTTCTTGATGAATAAAGCTGTTTTGGCCAATGATAAAGCAGTATGTAGCCAGGCAGGAAGTATAGGTGGAGCAACCAGACTAAGAGAATTCTAAGAAGAGGAAGGCAGAGAGAAGAAGTTGCCAGAGAGATGCCAGTGTCTGACGAGGAAGAAAGAGTCTCATGCATCACCAGTAAGCCAAGACTATGTGGAAATATGTAGATTAATAGAAATGGGTTAACAATTAAGAGCCATCAGCCAAACAGTTTATAATTAATGTAAGCCTTTGTGCGTTTATTGGGGACTAAAGGACTGTGGAACCAAGCAGGACAGAAACTGTCATCAGATGAATGTATGTAAACATTCTTCAATAAATAGATGTCACTCACACATATGAAATACGTTTACTTATTAAAGCTGTGTCTTAGGGTTTTATTGCCGTGAAGAGATACCATGACCATGGCAAATCTTACAAAGGAAAACATTTAATTGGGGTTAGTTTGCAGTTTCAGAGTTTCCATTATCATCATGGTGGGACATGAAGGCATGCAGGTAGACATGCTGCTGGGGAGGGAGCTGAGAGTTCTACATCTTAAAGTGGCAACAGAAGTGGACTCTGTTATTCTGGGCATAGCTTGAGCAAAGGAGACCTCAAACCCAACCTCATGTGACACAGTTCCTTCAACAAGACCACACCTAATTCAACAAAGCCACACTTCCTAATAGTGCCACTTCCTGAGGTGGCCATTTTCTTTTAAACCACCACAAGGAGTAACTCACAGTGACAAAATTTTCTTCATAATCATTTTTGTCTTTGGAATGTAGAAATCTTTCTTACAACTTACCTGGATTAGTTCACTACCAGAAATTTCCCAGATATCAATCAGCTCCTTTCCGTTGTCTACACGTTTGAATTTTGCAATTAGTTTATTTCCCTCAAGGCTCCAGGTCCCCTGCATCACAATAATTAGTCAGCATTTATTATGGTCTTACATGTCTCTAACATGATTTCCAGTTTACAGACCCACATTGTCACTCAGTGACCCTATGGACTCTATGAAGTAATACATTACTTCCATTTTACATCTATGGCGACTGAAGTGACAGAGCAATTCCTCAGATGTCAGAAAGGGATTGGACATGAGCTGTGAGAGTCAAGGCTGTGCTGGGAACTGTAATCACCACTCGGCTGACAACTGTTATATACTGAATATTAGTGCAGATGACTAGTGGTTATCATTAGTGATAAAATATGCAACAGTTAGACTGTCTTTGCAGGGCTGACAAGATGGCTCATCTGGTGAGAGAACTTGCAACAGAAGCATGAGGAACTGAACTCAAATCCCTAGAATCCATGTAAAAAGCCAGCCGTGCTCACATATGCCTATGACACCCATGCTGTCGAGAGCAGAGACAGGAGGATCATGGGCTTCAGGGCCACCAGCCTGCCTCCAGGTTCAGTGAGATACCCTGTTTCAAGGGAATAAGACCTGCAGCAGTGAAGCAAGGCACTTGATGTCCTCTTCTGGCCTTATGGGCATGTCCAACCACCACACACAAACACACACACACACACACACACACACACACACACTTGTCACTGCAAACATATTTGACCATAAAAAACTTTGAGGCAACACCCCTCCCCCTATTTTTCCTTTTGGTTTTTCAAAACAGTTTTTCTCTGTGTAACCCTGGCCATCCTGGAACTCACTATGTAAACCAGGCTGACCTCAAACCCAGAGATCCACCTGCCTTTGCCTCCCAAGTGATGGGATTAAAGGTGTGTGCTATCAATAATGAGTGAAAGTGACATTCCTTTTTTTTTTCCTGTCCTCACCAAGGATTCCCCTCCCTCCTCTCCTCCCAGTCTACCCCACCCCATCCACTCCTCCCATTGATATAGACCAAAGTTGACATATCAAGTTGCAACAAGACTAGGGACCTCCCCTCCTATGAAGTTTGGACAAGGAAACCCAGCACAAGAAGAGTTACAAGAGCAGGCCAAAGAGTCAGAGACAGACCCTACTCCCCCTGTTAGGAGTCCCATGAGAAGACTAAGCTACACACTGTCACATATATTTGAAAGGCCCAGGTCAGTCCCATGAAGGCTCTCTGGTTGGCAATTCAGTCTCTGTGAGCCCTATGAGACTAGGTTAACTGATTCTGTGGTGTTTCTGTGGGTTTTTTTTGTTTTTGTTTTTTTTGTGTGGTATCCTTGACCCCTCTGGCTCCTACAATCCTTCCCCCCACCTTCTTCCACAGAATTCCCTGAGTTCCACCTAATGTTTGGTGAAAGGGACATTCTTTATGATCTACCATGATTAGGCCTTCACATTTGGCTACTTACCCACTCATTAATTTTTTAATCAGTTTTTTAAAATGAGAGCTCATGTAGCCCAGGCTAACCTCAAACTTACCCTGCATGTCGGGAGGGGTCTGACTTTATGATCCTCCTGACTCCAGTTCCCTGGGATTACAGGCAGTTTTTATACAGGGCTGGAAATGAAACCCATGCTTTTGTGCTTGCTACAGTCTCCTGATTAAGCCACATTTGTGGCTTCTCAGTTTACTGTCCAAGTACATCTATAAACCCTGTGTTTGAATATTATGAACACTAAAAGCATGTAGTCTCCCAGCATGAAAAGTTGAAAATACCGAATTTTACATTTCCTTGTGACTGTCACTGTATTTGTCCATCTAAGAGGATTATTTATAAATCTTATTGTTTATCACCACATTTTCACAGACACATATCACAGTAAACTACTATATTTAAACATTTGCCAATGATGTGTGTAAAATAAAATACGAACAGACTTCTTTGGCCTCTTCAATAAATGTAAAGGGTTGCATTAGTTGAACAATTCCATGAGATAAACGACTTTGTATTGGTAAAAAAAAATCAAGAATGCATTGCTTATAGAAAATGTCTTACATTGAGTTCAGTTCCATCTGCTAGAGTATAGTCAAAGTTGACACCAAGTTCAAATACAACGTCAATGTTTCGAAACCTGCATGATTCTTTAATAATGAATTTATTTCCTTCTTGTTTGATGGTCAGTTTCAAATTGTCATGAGTTGCAACCTTCCTTTTCATAAAGTGAATGCCTGCAAAACCAGAGAGATTGGAGGGAACAAGAAATGAAAATGCCACGGAGAGTGTTTCCCTTTCTAAGCTCTGTCTTGGTTTGCTCAGGTTTATTTTGTGGGTGGAGAAGAAAGAGCAAATAGTGTTGTGTGCACAGCAAGCCTGAGATGCTTTCAGAGAAAGGGGAGGCTCTGGCAGACCCAGAGAACTGCTTCAAGCAGCTTCCAAACTAAGAAAATGGAAATGAAGCAACAGACTGTAGCACCTTAGCCCTGGGTCATTTTAACAAGACTGACAACCTTTTTGCTTCAATGATCAGTCAAATTCCAGCAATGTCAAATGGAGTATTAAAAAGTATATTCATATTCTAAAGAAACACGAGTTCAGTTCTGGATATTTATTAATTTTCAACACTACTTTGCTTTGAAAATGGCATTTATTTATTTATTTATTTTGTTGTTGTTGTTGTCATTTGAAACTGGGTCTTGATATATAACCCGGGCAGGTTCCCAGCTTTCCAGATAGCCTAGGCTAGCCTTTACCTCACAATCCATCCATTTCACTTTCGAAAGGGTTAAGGTCACAGGAATACGGCACCATGTTTTGCTTGCTTCATAGTTATATTTAATTTTTTGTGGCATTTCTGATTGCCTAGAGCCAGAAAAATTAGAGATTTTATAATGAAATTCATTATAATATGAATGTACAAATTTCATTAACTTAAATTTGGAATCCCTAAAGTTTGAGACATAATTGGTGCAGGTTTTATTTTGAGAAATGACACATATTTTTTGCACAATTTGTAGTGTAGGTTACCAGAATATTAATAGACATTTTTAATATAGTCAAATTAACCTCTGGAAAGAATACACAGTTTTCTGTGTTTATTCCTAAAGTTAGGTAAGTCTGAGAAGAGAATTACATAGAATTTATTCAAGGTGAGTTTTGATAAAATTCTTTTCTTACCTTATTGAAAGATCCTTGTTCTTTTCCCTCTTATAACATAGTGTTATTTTAAACTCTGGAAATTATCATAACACACACACAAACACACACACATCAGTTTTCAGTTCCGTGAGCACAGTTAACAGACAAGGGAAGAAAACACATGGGCTCTAACACTTGCCGTGGGGAGACAAGATGAGAGCATGGATATGGATTTACTGGCTCTGTACAGTCACACGTGGAGCCTTACACATCACCAGTCATTCCCTAAGGCACAGACAGGAGAAAGCAAACAGTGAGCCGCACAGGTGGACAGTCTTACCCATTTTCTCCATGATCGTTTCATAGTTTTCATTCCGGTCTACTTTCCAAGTCCCGTCAAATGCCATGATCTCAGTTGTGAGTGCCTCTGGGGAAGCAGAGCTATAGTCCTATCCACAAGAGAGAACTTATTCTACTTCTTATCTTCAAACCAATTCATAGTATTATATGGAAGTTTAAAGTTCAAGAGATTACCTAGCTACTTTACGTGCCATGCCCTTTTAGCTTCTCTTTCCATGCTTTCTTTGAATCTACATCTGATATTCAACTGAATTAAAACTTGATAATCATACCTAACAGCTTCTTCTCATGGACTGACTCTTAACCTCAGGATGAAAGGTCCTCCTTAGAAGACTCAGAGTCCTACTTAGGCTTTTATTGCTGTGATGACGACCTTGACCAAAAGAAACTTGGGCAGTGTCTTAGGGTTTCTGTTGCTGTGAAGAGACATCATGACATGGCAGCGCTTATAAAGAAAACGTCTACTTGGAGTGTCTCACTTACAGATTCATAGGTTCAATCCATCAACATCATGATGGTGAGCATGGTGACATGCAGACATGATGCTGAAGCTGAGTGTGCTACATCTTGCAGGCAACAGGAAGTCAACTGAGATGCTGGGTGGTATCCTGAGCACAGGAAACCTCAAAGCCCACCCCCACAGTGACACGCTTCCTCTAACAAGGCCAGACCCACTCCAACAAAACCACACCTCCTAATATTGCCACTCCCTATGAGATTGTGGGGGCCAACTAAGTCCCAACTACTTCATTCTACTACTGGATCACATAAGATTATAATAATATCATAATGAAAAATGCTTTTAGTTCAACCCAAAATGTCCCATAATCTATAACAGTTTCAACATGTTTAAAAGTCCAAATTTTTATGGGAGCCCACAGATTTGATTCCATTCCATCTTGACTTAGGGTCAGAGAGTTCACACCTATTTTTGATCTTCAAGGTCAAATAACAGGATGTTTGATCTAAGGCATGGTTACTAGATGTTTCACTCCTCAATGCCAAATGGCAGATTGTTTAGTAAGGGTATGGTTACTGGATGCTTTAAGAATTAAGGAAGCAATTACACTTGTTTGTTCCTTGTATCATCTCTTGCCATCTCCTTTTGCTTCCGGTATAAAAGTACTATATAAAATAAAATTCATAGCATCTACAGTATTTGCTGAGAGCCCTCCCAACTCCATTTTCTGTCTTTTGTCTCTTTCTTTTCTCAAACCTCACTCCTCCTCTCAGGCACGTTCAAATAGGTTGTCTGGTTTCCAACAAAGTTCAAAGTCTCTTCTTAGATTCATGCAATCTCTTAACTATAATCCCCTAAAAAATAAAAGCAGATCACATACTTCCAACATATAATAGTACAAGATAAACCTTACCCTAGGAAACATAGGAAAGGGCACATAATGAGGAAATATTGGACCAAAGCAAGAGCAACATCTAGCTGAGAAAACTCCAAACTCTGTATCTCCTCCATGTTTGATGTCAAAATGCTCTTCAGATCTCCATCTCTGTTCAGCTTTGTTGACTATAGCACACTTCTTCTCTTGAGCTGGTTCCACTCCTTGTTAGCAGCTCTTCTTGGCAGGCATCCCATGAGTCTGGCATCTCTAATATCTTGGGGTCTCCAAGGAAATCCAAGCTTCAACTTCACAGCTTCTTGCAATGGACTTTCTTCTAGGCCTTCATTCAGGTACACCTCTGATAAATACCTGGCCTCTATAGCTTTCTGTAGTCATGGGGGAAATTTTCATAACCTGTTTCTTCTATCTTTAACTCTAAAACCAGAACCACGTGGCCAAAGCTGCCAAGTTCTGCTGCTTTCTGGGGCTGGGACTAAAAGGCATGCACCATTATACCTGGATCTAAGCTTTTCTTTAATTCCTTGTTACAAGTTGTAAATTTATCTGGTTGGGATGTTGCCCTGAGGCCACCACTACCTTTATTCCATTTCTTAATGTATTTATTTACTTGAACACAGGGCATAGCTCCATTTTTCTTCGTGGTGCTCCTTTTCTCCTCAGGATATACATTTTGCTCAGCTCACTCCCTTTCATTATAAATCTTCATTATAGTTAACCACAATAACCACAAGACAGAATCCATACTAGGATGTTTTGTGATTTCCTTTGGCAAGGAAATTAATCCAAAACTTCTTCCCTGTAGTTTCTGCCAGACTTTTCACAGAAGGCAAAAAGCAGTCACATTCTTCAACAAAATATCACAAGAATGATCTCTAGGCAACATACTAAAATTCTTCTCCTCCAAAACCACTGCTCAGGCTCCGACAGTTCAAATCATCCTCAGCACCATTGTCTTCCCTGTTCTTACTTTAAGCCCATTAAGCAGAACTTAAAGCATTCCACTGCTTTCCTAACCCAGATTCCTGAAGTGCAAATGCTTCCAAACAAAAGGATGGGCAGGCCTATTACAGCAATACCCATTCTTGGTACCAACTTTTGTCTTAGGGCTTTATTGCTGACCATGGTAATTCTTATAAAGAAAACATTTCATTGGAAATAGCTTATGGTTTCAGAGTTTCCATTACATAATCTACCCCAAAATGTCTACCAGGGAACCCCTACAGTTGATAAACCCCTCCATCAAAGTGACTGGATACAAGATTAAATTTTAAAAAAATATCAGTATCCCTCCTGTAAGCCCTGAGGCCCCTCCTCTGAGGATCTCCAACTGCCAGATTCCAATCCTAGAACACTCTAACTGCCCTAATGGCCAGTAAAAAGCCCAGACTTGGGAGTTGAAATCCCACCAATCCCTATATAGAAAGCTTCACCCTTACACACACCCAACACAGAAGAAACTCTATAAACTCTGCCTTCTGCTCAGTTCCTTGCTGTTTCTTGTCCAAGCAGTGGCATCCACCCTCCTGGATTTTTCCCTCCCAATAAATCTCTTGTGTGAGGTTTGTTGTGAGGTGTGACTTTGTAGTATTCTTTGGCTCCCAACTGCCAGGGCACCTTTCTATCTGAGCTATAACACATTTGGTACCAAAACCCAGATTAGGCTCTCCCAGTGCCTGAGCTTCCTCTCAGGGGTCTAAGATGCTCAAGCCCCCCCCCTCTCATCTCCAGTCCACCTGTAACAACTCACCTTCCAGCTCACCGATCCCTCAGCACCCCATCCACCCACAACAATTATACAGTTGGCCCTCTTCACCTGACCTCATCCCCTAAGCCTTGTAGATTCAATACTGCAGTTTCCTTAGGCCCAACCTGGCTACTGTGCCCCTTCCCCGCCCTCTTCTCCTATCTTCATTTAGGAGCTGCCTGTAATCCCACAGCTCCTCTTAGGCCCTCTTGGCTTTTGTAACTCCATCCTTCAACCCATTCTTGTGAACAAGACCCCTCTTTAGAGCTGGGTTCTAAGTCTCACTTTTCTGGCTGCTACAAAAACCCTGGTACCAAGAACTGAGTCTCTCCTCTGGCTTAGCCAGGCTAATCCCTGACCCCTGTGTTGACTGTGTTAATGACCCATTGAATCTCTTGGTCCTCAATTGGTGCTCTCTGAGTCCTAGAGATGCTGGCCACTACAGGCTGCAGTGACATTTTCCTCACCCTCTCTCATCCATGGGAATGGAATCTTTCATACTGTCTTATTCCCCCTTGGGATGCCTCTTAGAAAACCTCTATCCTCTTCCATCTGATACCTGACCTGAAAAACCCTAAGTTTATTTGCTTTTGCAATTGGCCCTAAATTTATTTTCTTTTGCAAATTGGGCTCAATACTCCTTAGATAAGCAACACAAAGGACTATGTAATGTAACCCTAGATCCTAATACTATTTGGGATCTTTCCAACACTGCCAGCAATCTGGAAAGGGAAAGAAGTTTACTTTTTTCCCCTTCAAGCCATGACTTAATGTCATGTGTCTTAAGTTAACAAATGATAGATCTGCAAAGCGGGAGCCGGGATCCAGACCTAGCAGAAGGGAGGGAAGGCAAGGGCCAGTTGCAATGTGCACACTCACCGCACACACTCTTCATTGCCTGGTTTGTATCTCAGATCTCTTTTGTTTTGCCCTCTGCCTATAGCTAGAGCTCATAAATATCCTATGTCTAAGTCCTTTTTTTGTTTTTGTCCTCAGCTTACTGGATTCAGTTTTACAAGGATCTAGGTGTCTTTTAGATACTAGTGGCATCAGACTGTTGTTTTATGCTGTCCCACTTCAATTAAAAGCTGACTCTGTAGGGTATGGCTCCCCCTCCTCTAGACCCCAAGCATGCTTATTTAAAGGTTTCTTCCAAAATCTCTGTCCCAGTTCAGGAGAGTCTCCTGACTATGTGACAGAGAAAGGAGAGCAAAACAAAACAAAGCAGATCAAAACAAAACAAAAGTCCCCAATAGGGATTTAATTCACACTCTTTTGATTTTGGATTAACTCTCTAAAACCTTTGCTAAGATATAAATCTTGTTTCAAGGTTTGTAAAACTATTGTGTAAATGTTCTGTACCTCAAGGTTTGTAAGCACACGGGGTATGATTAAAACAATGTAAAATCTGTAACAAAGGATTAACTTAAAACTCTTAACACCTGGGTTGATAGTCAAAGTCTATACATAGATAATCTTAAAGGAACCATAGCTTACTGTCACCTTATCTGCTGTCCCCTGATTAGGGTAATGGCAGCCATGTGGCTGACAGCCATCTTTGCTAGGGCCGGGAAGGATGAACTTTGCTACAGGGCCTCACCCATCTTGATGAAAAATGATCACATGGCATAACCCAATCAAGGGAAAACTCAGCTCCTCGTTTTGAGGCCAAAACCAGTGATTCCTCCACTATTTTTGGTCACACTAACAAGCCTCCTTCTTATCAGCCTCAACCCAGTCTCTTCTCTTCCTCTCCAGCCTCTCTAGTTTCCCTTTCTCCCTCCTCAGCTACAGGCTGCCCATTCAGTCAGGGCTGAGGCAGTACCCCAACCAGGACCCTGAATGGAATTACAGTAGCCCAGGGGGCATCCATGCTAGGGATCGATCAATTTGTAACTTGCCTCCTGGCTGGTCTTCACAAGTTCACCCTTAGAGTGGTAAGCTATGAAAATAATCCAAGAGATCATCCAGGACAAACATGATGACCCAT